TTACTGTCTGAGTAATCTTGGTGGCCTGGGATAGAAGTTTTATTTAAATTTTATTAGCAACTGTATTTCTGCAATTGCTGATTAGTTCTTAATTAATTCTTATTGTTTCATCTTTGCTCTTAGCAGCTTTCCAAAGTTGTTTTTAAATGTGTAATTTTTAACTTCCTATCTCAGGAGGCAAGTGGTTTCTGTTTCTGGGCACACCTAACCATGTGTTGTTTGCCTTAATTCCCAGCATGAGACAGCAGCAAAGTAACTGTCTTTGTGTGCGTCTAACTTATCCATCTACCTAATGAAAGACTTTCATTTGTGTTGTTTCCTGGGCCACCTGATGTGGAGAATATGGAGAAGCAGACATTTTTAGTATGACTTTTTAAAAAAAAGATTGGTTTTTAGCATTATTGTGTGGTTTCACAGTTTTTGACACTCCAAGTCTGTTTTGTAGCCTAACTGTTAATGGTGAGGAAGTTTAAAAAGACAGTGTTAGAACCAGATTTCTAACTTTTCACACCCCCTTAACACCAGGTGGCAAGTGCTATTAAACATTTGATCTGGCTGATCTAGTTTCACTGCTAATAACTGCTACAGTCCCATGAGTAGCCTTTTGGTGGCTGCCAGATGCCTCCTGAGACTCCTTAGCTGACTGTAATCTGACAAACTATTGGCGTTTTATCACCCAGGAGTTAAATTTGGACACTGATATGTGTCATTGGTCAAACTGGGATTATGTAGTGGCTGAGAAAGGGAGGTGTCTTTTCTCCACTGGCATGTCTTTGAAAGACATAAGAGAATTTACTCTTTTTAAAAATAATTAAACACAAATATGTAAATTAAATATTACTATCATAAGTTTCCTTCTCCAGGATCTGTGACCCAGCTCTTGGTGTATGGATGACCAGTCTTTGGTGCTTTGAGGCAGAAGAGGACAGGGTGGGTTCCTCTCTGTGGGTATAAGGAAGATGGGTGGTGGGGCGTTCCTTGAGGTGATTCAGAGAGCTTGGGAGAAGGAAGTGGGCATGATGGTCACAAGTTGGTGTCCTTTGGCAGTCTTGAAAGAAGACTTAGTGTCTGGAGTCTGGAAGGCATCAATCAGGAATGAACAAGGAAGTCACAAACAGAAGTAAATCAGGGTAGGGAATGATGTTTCAGGAACAGTTCTATGACTCTAGCAGGGTCAATCCTAATTAGTTATCTAAGGGGCAGGGAGTACTTACGGAAGGCTTTCCCTGATGAGCACAAGGACACACATGAAGTGGGTGTTTGAAGAGAAAATGTAAGTTCTCACACAGTTGTTTTACTATTTTCACAAGAGAATCGATACTTTAATACTTTTATAGTCATCAATACTGGGATTTAAGGTCTAAGCATGGGAAGTGAGTTTTTTATTTTTTAATATAGACCATAGAATATAATATAGACTACTCATGATTTATAAGATGTCCTTTACAAACAGTCTGCCATCCTTTGAGATTTCCTAATCTTGCTTTATTTCCTACTATGAAAACTGGCTAGCAGGGTGGACACTTTTGTGGTCAGTACCACTTGATGTCTTTATGTCCTGTGACCAAAGCAAAGCGGCCAAAGCTTAAGTGTTCTGAGGAGATGCTATGCTAGAATTGGTGCCTAAGAGAAAAATCTTACATTTCTGCCCTTGAATGCCTTGAGAGAACAAGTCCCAATGACTCCTTAAGTGCCATATATGTGGCTGATCTAAGAGTCTTTCTCTCCTTCCTTCCTTCCTTCCTTCCTTCCTTCCTTCCTTCCTTCCTTCCTTCCTCATTCATTCATTCATTCATTCATTCATTCATTAGTGTTTGCTGGATACCTACTCTGAGGGTACTGGAAGTAGATCATGATAGTTAAATGCTGTGAGATTAAAGGCAGCTTTTTTCCTGAGGTTTTAATTCTATATGGCCTCTGCATAGTTATGAATGTAAAATACATAACCCATATAGTTTAAACATGACAAATAACAACTCTTTAAATTTCAGGCTTCATTTATTTGAATATTTTTTCTTGCTAAATAAAAGAAGGCAGCAAAATGGAAACAGAACCATTTGTCATCACTGAATTCAAGTGAAGTGAAAGATAATTTAGAGATATTTGACTCATGAATCTTTGATAGGATTTTTCATTCATCAGAGTAGTGTCAAGAATAAAAAAATTGGCTCTACCTGTTGGAGTGACATTTTACTACAAAACCATTATTTTTTATATATTTAAATTATATTTTAAGTCATTACTCATTTTTGTATATTATGAAAAGTACTTAAATTTCTGAAAGACCATAAAAAGAAAGCGAAATTGTTAGTTCAAAACTTTGTAACTTTCAAATATTAGCAAATTCAATATTTTTATAATCATCCTGTTTGATTAAGAACTGGATCCAGATTTCTTCTTGTCGCTCTTTATGTTTGGTGAACTTGTGTTGTAACTTACCTGGACAGATGAAGAAATGTTATTCTCTATTTCTTGCAATAATTGTCTTCAGACAGTATCTTTTACTGCAGACCCTTCTTCCAGAACTCTGCTGGCTAGTTTCATGTAAGTTTGACACAGGCTAGAATCATCTGACAGGAGGGAACCTCAACTGAGAAAATGCTTCAATAAGAGTCAGCTGTCAGACGTTTCCCTAATTAGTGATTGTGGGAGAGAGCCCAGTCCATTGTGCGTGGTGTCACTCCTTTACTGGTGTTCTGAGTTCTATAAGAAAGCAAGCTGAACAAGCCATAAGTAGCAAACCAGTAAGCAGTACCCTCCATGGCCTCTCTGCATCAGCTCCTGTTTCCAGTTCTTGCCCAGTTTGAGTTCCTGTCCTGACTTCCTTCAGTGATAAACAGTGATGTGGAAGTGTAGGCCAAATAAATCCTTTTCTCCTCATCTTGCTCTGATCATGGCATCTCATCACATCCACGATAACCCCAAGACAAGAACTTTCAGATAGTCTTATTTGAGTGTTTTCCGTGCTGTTATTGTGGGGAACTATTGGGGCATACAGAGTATCTGTATCTAATGCTGAAAGCTCTTGGTACTCCTATATGTGGGCTCTTCAAAAGCAGGAAGCACTAGTATTCATACATGACTTGGTTATACAAGTTATGTCACAGCCAAAATTATAACAGTAATTAATCTGTCACTAACGGAAGGAAAGTATTCTTTCATTTGACAGATAATGAAACTGAGTCTCAAAGAAACTTTTATTATTATTATTATTATTATTATTATTAATTTTAAACACAAGAGCCATAAAAGCAGATGGACAAGGCAAATTAATTTTGGACATGGTCAGTATAAAGGATTAGAGAAACAGTTGTACACTGTGCTTACTGTGTGTGCCTCTTTTCCAGAAAAAAATCAAGGTATGTCAGCTTCATTCTATCTCCTTCAAATTCCTCACACTTGGTAGAACATCTTTTTCCTTCAGCCTTTGACATAGGTCCCATCTCTTGCTAGTGGATACTGGTGGGCTTTAGACCCAGGGCCTTACAAGCCACAAGGGATTACAGGAAACGGCATTTCTTCGTATGTAGCAGTCAGGCATCTGGTCACAGGCAGATGGTTTGGAGGTTTTAGATCTAGCCAGAAAGATAGTCCATTTCAGTCTTTTCAAAGTAAAATTTGCTATCATAGCCAGTGAATCGTATGATTGGGTGGCTCATGGAGAGGCAGGGATGTAGGATATGTGTATTCAATGGGTGTTCAGTCACTGGCAAGAATACTTGTTTAAACTAAAGGGACATTGCCTGTATTCCTTGTGGTGTGCTCAGGGTGAGCCACACTTCCCTTGGGAGATAAGGCTTCTGAAAGCCATCACACGTGCTAGGTAGGAAGAGAGCTAAGCAGTGACCTAAGAGCGCCGTCACATTGGAGGGATACCCATGCTTCTCAACTGTACTGCATACTCACTGCCACTTGCAGACATTTATCTGGGTAATTTTGTGAATGTTTACTCAGTGGTGCTTAGTGCTTCCCAGTAAAATACCTGTTGATTCTGAAATGGAGAAATAATTAAATGGACAGGACAGCTTGATTTGCATAGGATTTCTTTTTTTCTGTGACAGGTGTTTGGTGTGTTTTCATGGGAGTGAAGAACATTATCACTTTTACAGATGCCATCAATCTTTAATAATCAAAATTCCCTTGGCAGGAAGGGTGGTGTAGCAGTACATTACTGTGGTTAGTGTTACCCTGCACTATCTACGGTAATCAGTATTGGTCAGTATACTGTAGTGGAAACGGCCCTGTTGTGAGATATCTGGGAATCTGTCCACGACATCATTAAAACACTGCTGCAGACTCATTGGGCTTGGGAATAGTATTTTAACAGCTCAACTGAAATTGACCCATGTGGTACAGTTTAAAAATTCTGAATCCACAACATTCTGTATTTGAATAATAAATTTGTATATAATTTTGTATTAGCTTTTAAGCTATAAGTCCCCAAATGATTAGTTTATTATGTTTGAAGTATGGTAATGGCATGATTAGCTGTGAGCTAAAATATTGTTTTGTAAGCTAAAATATTATTTGATCTAATAATCAGATCTAAAGATCAAGAAGAAAGTAGAAGCTTCTAAACAAGTGTTAAAATTGATACTAAATACAAGTTAACAGTACTGTCCACCAAAAGGTCAAAAATAATACAGTCCAATCAGTTAACTCACTGACTTTACTAATCAGAGAAAAAATTTACCTTAAAATGGGATTTAGGAATTCTTAAACCTGGGGTTTAAACTACTGATTATGTTAAGTAGAACAAATACGATGTTTGTATAAGTGGGATAAATTAAGAGAACAGTATATATTCAGTTATTTTTTCTAAAAGAGAATACGCAAGTATAATTAAATTTCTTTTTGAATATAGGTACACTCTCATGAAATGGTGTGGGCAAAGGTTTACTTTCTCTCACTATTAGTGTGTAAATGCCTTTGATGTAGAATGATGTGCACGAAACACATCTCAAATGTCCTCTTCTCAGTGAATGCTTTGTGTTTTCCAGGTTAGCGCTCTACGTGTATGAATATCTGCTCCATGTAGGAGCTCAGAAATCGGCTCAGACATTTTTATCAGAGGTATGTTTTATGTATTTTCTGCACTACATTTGCTATATAAATGAATGAAAAAAATAGACTGGAAGGATGGCTTGTAAAGTTGTTTTATAGCAAGTGCTTAGGTATCCTTTTGTATAATGCAGTCTTTAGATTTTTTTTCTAAGTGTTTTCAGTATCACTAACTCCCTTTTCTGTCCAACTTAAAACATTCTAGTAAACCTTCTAACCGTTTATTCCCTTAGAAAGTTACCTGAACATGGCAGTAATAAGCAAGAAAGCCAGTTTGCTTTAGAACCTTCCACTAGGTCTGAGGAGATGGCTCAGTTTAAACTCTAGAACATACATACACTAAAATCTGATTGTGGTGCTGTGCATTTCTATTCCCAGTCCAAGGGAGATGAGGACAGGCAGATAGATCCCTGGTGGTCACAGGCCAACTAGCCCAGCCTGCCCATCAAATTTCAGGCCACCGAGAGGCCCTGTGTGGAGAAAGGGTAGATGAGAGCCAGTGAGATGTCTGTTTGGGTAAAAGTTCTTGTCAGCAGTGTCTTGATGATCTGAGTTGGATCCCTAGGGCAGCACTATAGAAGAAAAGCACAGACTCCTGTAAGCTGTCCTCTGATATCCACATACATAGCATAAATAGTAAGGGCACCTGCACACAGGTGCACATGTACTCATGTAACATGGACCCACACGTGCCTCCACACACAGTAAGCCTCCCTCCTGCACACATTTTTAACAATATCTTATGTTAGCATTGTTAACAAGTTTTGATAATGTGGATTTGTTTATTATTTTATGTGAGTAGAGTTGATTATTTGGAAACATTTCTGATCATCTTATTTCAAGCTCTGGCTAGTCTCTCTTTTCCTTCACTGTTGTGGTTGGTTTTGTTGTAGGAAACAGGCTGACCTCATACTTGCCATAGTCCTGCCTCAGCCTTCTGAGAGCTGGAACTAAAGGCAAGTGCTCCTCTTTCACTTTTCCAGCTCCGAGTCTGAACGTTCTTGCAATAGAATTCTATTTTCCTTCTTTAATTATGATAAATATAATGAGGGTGTCGAATTCTGTTACTTAGTGGCCACATCATGTTCCAAGGTGTATTACACTTATCATTTTAAATTGTTATAAGGAATTAATAATATACATAATATTATTGCTATTTTATTAATTGGTACATGATTAACTTGGGGGTCACACAGGTTAATGAGTTAATGGAACTAGAATTCACATTGTCTGTTATTTCCAAGGACATTGGTGTACATTGTGTGCAACCACAGCTGGGACTGCTTTGTATGATTCCTTTGGTCTCAAACAAATTCGTATGTTACACACTGACCCAGCATTCAATTTTATGACTCTGTGGTGGCCATTCTAATGCCAGCCACTAAACATTCCAAATAAGGAAATCAAAGAAGACACCAGATGATTAGAAGACCTCACATGTTCATGGGTTGTCAATATCAGTATAGTGAAAAAATGGCTATATTACCAAGGATAATGTTTAGAGATAATGCAGTTTTTATCAAAATATAACAAAGTCCTTCACAGAGATAGGAAAGAATGCCAAAATTCACATGAGCTCATATAAACCCCAGATTGTCAGAACAATCTTGAGGAAGGAAAGAACAATGCTGGAGGTATTAAAGCACACAACTTCAAGTTATGTTATGTCTGCGATAACAAAACCAGCATGTGTAGAACCATGAAGTAGAGCATGCAAGAACTAAACCCTAAAGCCACAGCCACTCTTGTTTGATCGCCATGTAGCAAAACTGGCAATAAGAAGCCTTTCAGAAAATGGTGCTAGTAAATCAAAATCCATACATAGGGAAATGAAACTAAATTCCTCTTAGTCTGCAAAAATCAGTTGCAAATATGTTGAAGACTTTAATGTGAGACTTGAACCACTGTTGCATGGAAGTATCAGGAAAATAGTTCGAGTCATAGGCATAAAGATTTTCTATAAATCTCTAAAACTCAGAAAATAGCACCCAGGAATTGTCAAATGGGATTATGAAATCAGTACATGAAATGGAAGGCTGAATAGTAAACACTCAAGTAACAAGGCGTTCTACAAACAGGAGAGATCGTTGCTAGCCATACAACTGAAAGAGGATTAACGTCCACAACATAGGAAGAACTCAAAAACTTGTAACACCAAAAGCTTTCCCAAACAGCTCAGTCAGTGAGCAAGCTAATGAGATGGTGATTTCAGAGGCTTTCCCAAACAGCTCAGTCAGTGAGCAAGGTAATGAGATGGTGATTTCAGAGGATGAAGATGAAGCACAGATGCATGGTGGGACTGCCCAGGAACGCCGACTCCTCCTGGAGTAGCTAAGACAGATGGAGAATTCTAGTGAGGATGTGGGTGAAGGGAATCCTTACCCATTTCTAATGTCTGTATGGAAGTTCTCACAGAACTAAATACAGAACTACCATATGACCCACCATACCCCCCCTGGGTCTAACACTAGAGAACTCTAAGTCAGTACACCACAGAGACACTTGTACGTTCATGCTTATTACACTGCTGTTTGTAATAGCCAAATTACTTAGCGTCCATAAATAGAGAGATAAATAAAAAATAGTAATATACACAGTAAAGTTTTATTCAGTCATAAAGAATAATATAATGATGTTATTTTCTGAGAAAACAGATACAACTTGAGATCATCATACTGAGTAAAATAAACCAAACTAAAAAAAGGAAAATATGTTTTCTTTCATTTGCAGATCTGACTTCAGTAGTTACATAAAAATGTATGCATGAACATGTGCATGTATACACACACACACACACACACACACACACAGACACACACATCATTAAAGCAGAAGGGAGGCTGGGGAAGGAAGTAGGCCAGGTTGGGCTGGGGTGGAAGATTTGACTGAAGCACATGCTATTCTTGAGTAATTGTGCTGACGCCCAGCACTGTGTACAGTGAGTGCAGAGCAGCAGAGAGAGGGGAGCAGCAGGTCATATCAAAGGACGCTTCATCCTTAGTTGTAGAATCTTTACATATAAAAACTACGTGTACACATTTATAATTGTTTAAAAACAATAGAATATATAGTCTTTTGAGTATTCTTAATTTAGAAATGGAAGATTGGAGTGTGTTTATGATACTACTTTGTTGCATATGTGCTGGAGTTCTTGATAATTTTAGTTGGCTATATTTCAATCCCTTTTTATTCCCTTACATTGTAAGTGTCTGCCTGTGATTGCTGTATGTACTACATACACCAGGCTCTGTCTTCTGGGCAGTGCTCAGTGTTACAGTCCTCTGCCTGAACCATTCTCCACTTATGTACCTTAGATGTCACTGCTCACTGGGAAGGCTTTCTCAGAGCAGTTAGCTTTAAGATTTTACTGCAGCCTGCAGGTGCCCCCACAGGAAGACCATTACATACTATAGTGAGACAATGTTTGCATTATCTTCTTGATGAAAGAGCCCATGGAATTTTAATTAAAAGAATAACATCATTAAGACTGTACTTTAATGTCCCTTGACTATAGGCATGGAGGGGGGAGAAGGAAGGGAGGGAGGAAGATGGGGAGGGAGAGGAAGAGGGGGAGGAGAGGGGAGGGGAGGGGAGGGGGGAGATGCCTAAATGTAGTATTTTAGAGTTCTGTACCCTTCTTAGAGTTGCTTTCTCTCTTAATTTTACTTGAAACACACACACAGTTAGAGCATGCTCATTGTAGAGTGACTCTTTAACCAGCTTGGTTGTGTATGACTGTTCATAGTCTATCATTCCTCTCTACCCTAGTCCCAGATTTTTACCTCATTCAGAACTGTAAATGGCTTATTTGAGTTGAGTATTTTGATAAAGAAATGACTGAGGTAGTTACTTTGATGTAATATTTTCAAAGCAAAATTCTCCTTCAGGATTGATGAGGTTATAAGTGACTGTTATGTTAGTAAGTTCTGAGTCGGATTACTCTGCCAGACATTTCTTCCACTTCCTTGGGATGGTTGTTATACTTGGGGAGGACCGATCAGAACTGCTGATGGCGTTTACTCTGTTTCTCAGCCCGGTCACTGGGCATAATTCTTTAAAAAGTGCCCTTGACCTGAGCTGTCAGAAATCGGACTGTTCTCGATGACTTTGGTGTTGGTCAGAAGAGTGAAGAACATGATGATGTCAGCCCGACTCCTCCCTTTTATAAAATAAAGTATAAGATACTGGACTATTACAAAACAAACAGAAGGAAAAGAACCCATAAAAAGCACACACACAAAAAGATATAGATACAGAGAGACCCACTCATTCACAAACTTAGGAATTCCATTGGTTTTCCCCTTTTCTATTCAACAGAAAACACTGGACTCAGTAGTGGTCAAACTGTTCTCAGTTTGTTCTAATGGGTTCAGTGTTACTTTTGATAATTTTTAGTTATCACTGTCCCAAACCTAAATATAGTTGGAATGACTCTTACTCCTAGTAGGAGAGGAGTAAATGCTCTTGAGTGACAACTCAGCACACAGCCCTGGTCTGCTCCATCTTCGTGACCAGTAACATGCAGTTGCAGCAAACTGTTGAGGAAGTTTTAACTCTAGGTCAGCTTTATTACCCCATGCTCATTTCTAGTTGTCTTTTTCTTGTTACAGTGTTTCTGTAACAAAGAGAATTCCTGTTGAGTCTTGGAATTTTTATAATATTCATGCTTGGAAATGAGGCTGAATGTTCTTAACAAATACAGCTAAGAATTAAAATGTTAGCCAGGTGTAGTGTATATGACTTAAATCCCAGCACTTGGGAGGCAAAGGAAAGTGAATAGGTTTGAAGTCAGCTTGCTTGGTCTGCAGAGTGAGTTCTAGGATACAGAGGGCTACAGAGAGAAACCCTCCCATGAAAACAAAACAAAACAAACAGCAAGAATTAAAATATTGTAGAGTTATCCGTTTCCCCTTTCTTTTTACAGTTTATACTCTTGGTAGCCTCTTTTGTCATGTTGGCCAACAAGTTGGCTCAAAATAGTAGCATTGCAGCACCTAATGAATGGGCTGCTT